CTTCTGTTGTAATTTGCTGCTGTCGTTGTTGAACACGATGACAGCCGTAATCTCTCTTTGAGACTCCATTTCTCACTAAAGTGATTACTGAATCTGTGCTGTCTTTTCATTTATCTGCTCCTCTGCCTCTCCCTGCCTCTGTGTGAGCGGCTGGTAATCAGTCAGCTTAGCTCTTCATCTCAGTAAACACCATCCGCCCGGAAGAGCCAGCCAGCCAATCGCAGCCCAGTGGAGCTGATCAGCCAGCCAATCGCAGCCCAGTGGAGCTGATCAGCCAGCCAATCGCAGCCCAGTGGAGCTGATCAGCCAGCCAATCGCAGCCCAGTGGAGCTGATCAGCCAGCCAATCGCAGCCCAGTGGAGCTGATCAGGTAGCCAATAGCAGCCGGGAACACTCGGTCCCTCGTGACACGATGACCCGCTGCACGTCGGTAAGCGTTGCTATGGGAACCCTACTGTACAGAGCAACTCCGTGGAAATGCAGCGGAGTGCAGGCAGGAAGGAGAGAGGTGGGAGGAGAGGACAGAAGTGAGGGGTTGTTGGCAAACGTAGGAGAAAAGCAGAGTTTCCTGAAAATGTTGAATTAGGTGTGGTTTGAGGGCAGAAGCAGCCAGCGTTAAGCGAACAGCGTGTTTTCAGAGCATGTGGGCAGCAGAGCATCTGAACGCTCCTGACTGATGTTGATTTGGACACGACAGAACCCTCGGGGTTCTCAGGTAGACTGCCAGAACCAGAGTGAAGTGTTTGGTCATGTCAGAGAAACATGGATAGGACATCTGCTGTCTCCACGTTTAATTATCATCTCTGAACTTTTCAGTCACTCAGAACAAAGCAGTGGGCTCACAACAACCGTTTCACTCATTTCACTAACAGAATAACAAATCAATCCTTCTCCTGAGGGTTTTCCCAGCTTTGTGGTCCTGGTTCACGTAGCGGGGTCCTAATCCAGTTAGAAAGAGCTAAAGTGGCCGTTGACATTATGGTCCAAGCTCTTGCTTTGATTGGGCTACAGGTAATCCAATTCATTTCAAATAAATCTGAGTTTTTCTTTGATTTTTTACACCATTGTAACACAATCAAGCGGTTTATGCAGGACATCCATATGGATTTCAGCTCTAAACACCAAGAACTTGGAGTGAAGTCTGAACTGTAACTTTCTCAGAGAACAAAATCAAGCAGATAAAAGTTACATTTTCTATTATGAAATCAGAAACAGTTGATTTTTCATCATCAGCAGAAAAGCAGCTCCCTTTGGATACATGAGAATTTACCATACTTGGAGTGAAGGCGGGGTCCATAATATAAAGAACAGATTTAATTCACAGATGCACGACGCAACTGGACCAGTAGAACAACTCAGTACCGATGTAGTTATGGTATGATCTTTAATCGATTCATTATATTTTTATAATAGTAAAATCTGGTCTATTAAATGTCTGCAGGTACTTTAGCTTCATCAGGCTCCTGCTGTGAGATCGGATCTCCTGTTGGCGTACAACTCTTCTTCTACTGCCATTCCGGCTGTTTATAGGTTCTGTTGTCTCATTAGTGGGCCTGCTGGTAGTCGTGCTGAGTTCTGATCCAGTATCCAGAGAAAATAAAAGTGTTCTATTATTTCTAATAAAGAAAAAGTATTTTTCTGCATACTGCTGAGAGTGCCTGGCAGTTATTTACATATCTAACCCCATCCACAAAAATAAACAATAATGAACAAGAGTCTGCTTCTAGACCTGCAGAAAGAGAGAAAAAAAACAAAAAAACAAACAAAAAAATGGGACACAACAGCAATACAACAAGATCAAGCTATCACTGTGTCAACTTGATGAAGAAATATATAATCAACATTGTTCAACTGAACAATCACACCATAATAAATCACAGTGCATTTAGTGCCAACCACAGCCTTAAGACGTGCGTTGAACGTGCCCAAGTCCATACTTTTGAGAGCACCATGTGAGCACCTGTGTGTGTACACGCGCTTGTTTATGTAAGGTTTCTCTTTAGGAGCGTCCAATAGAGAGTGTGAGGGGCCACAGATCTGCCCCCTAAAGATGTGCAGGAGATGGAGGGAGCTCCAAGTCCCAGAGATCCAGGAGCTGCCCCAGAGCACAGGGACCCCAGGAAGACTGCGACCAGAAAAGTCCCCGCCCCCCTCGAGAGGCGCAGAGGATTGCCCCGGGGGGCCACAACCAGCAGCTGGCAGAGTCCCGGGAGATATCGGCGGCAAGCCCACAGGCCCGCCCGCAGCCTCCCACCCCCTACCCGGCCGAGCCCGGGACCCAGCAGAGCCCAGGGACCCAGAACCCACCAGGCAGCCACCGGGATTGGTCAGCCAGATGCCAAAAATCTTAAACTCCCTGACCCGGGAGCCACGACCCAGGCAGACCAAGGCACCGAACTCCACACCAGGTGTGGCAGGGGGAGGGGAGACGAAGATCTATATAATCAAAAGAAGTCTCAGGAGAGGGAAGGAGTCAAAGGCCCCACCTGACATATACAGTCATACACAAACACAGTCACACACTCCCTCCCTCATGCTCACACATGCACATACAACCAAAGACTTACAAAAATGCACGCCGGACACCCACTCATGCTCCCCATACACACCCTATTCACTCTGGTCCCGGTACTGCTGCACATTGGGTACAACCATCACCGGTTACCAGAGTTCGACCCTTTCTGCTGGGGTGCTGATGAGCAGGCTCCCCCGCCCAACGCCGAGCACAGCAACCCACCACCCCAGACCCCAACCAGACGGCCAGATCTCCCTCCTAGCCTCCAGCCCCAGGAAGCCAAGCGACAACAGAGGTGTGCTACGACCCCTAGTCTCCCTCCGCCTGCTCCAGTATGGTGTTAGTGAGTGTTGATGAGGTGTATTCCATGGCTGTGGTGATGTCCATGCGATACTGCACCCAATATTGTTCCATAATAATAATCATAATCACCCAGTAAGCCACGCAGATTCTTCTTATCAAACTGTTCCTGTCAACCATCATTCTGCACATCTGCTGCTCTAGCTGTACCTCAGTTTGTCCATCCTACTGGTCATTTTTCACGCCGACTTCTCCTGGTTTTTTCCCAAATCCACTTTCAATCAGACAAGTTTGCTTTGTGGGTTTCAGCGAGCTGATCAGGACCGGCTCTGCCTGCGCTGCAGGAGGACGGCCTTTTAGTGGAGGAGTTACATAACCAGGCTTTTGCTGCATGTCTGCTACTGTCAGCCACACACACACACACACACACACACACACACACACACACACACAACCCTTCTGCATGCTTGTGCTAATTGCATTAATGCACACGTCTGAGTGTTTCTGTTTTGAGGCAGAGGTTTGTCTCATGAGTCGCGGTCTAAGGAACTCAAACTGGAACTGATTTCAATTTTATGGTAAATTTAACTCAGATTTAAATTATAGTGCACGCCTGAAATGTCCTTTAAATTAATGATAACACGTTTATCTTTTCTTAGCAATCAAATAAGCTACCAGCGTGTGAACGTATGTGAATGGATGAATGATTCACTTTAGTGCGGGTTAATAAACCTTTAAAATCAGATTTTTTAGAACGGTATAAAGCTTTTATTTTGTTAGTTGACCAAATTATATAGAACAGAACTAAAGAGGACTGATTTCAGAACAATGTTTTTATGTGGTCCAATTAAGAATCAAACACCTGGAAACAATGATTAGTATTAACTTTTTGATTTAAAGTCATCTAAATGATTTTTCTAAATCAGCTTTGTCCATTAATTTCATGGATGGATGAGTTTTGCGACAGAGAACATGTCTGGGGTGGAACTATCGTTATCATGTCCTTCTTTCCTTCAGGCAGTATTTTTCTGTGCTAATTTATTTATTTGATCAACATTAGAGGCTCTTAACTTTGTAATAACGTTCTAATTGTAATTTTACATTTAAATGTTTTACATTTTTATTACATTTTCAAATCAAATGAAATTTACTACTGTAAGATTCAATTTTAAATAATATTATTGTATGAATTTGTGTATTTTTTTATCTTTTTAAAAACATAATATTGAAAGAAATATTTTATACATTTAAAATTTTATATCTAAAAACTACATTTTTGGGGACATTTTCAAACATAATCACATGATTCAAGATCAGAAATTTCAAGCTTTTCTTACCAGTCTAGCTAAAGTCAATCTTTATTACTTTTCAGGGATGTGTATTTTTGAAATTCTGGCGATACGATACACATCACGATACAGGGGAGACGATACGATAAATCACGATATATTGCGATACATTCAGTCAGACGTTACAAACAAGTTATTTTACTGAATTTATTGTAAGAATGTTCAGTAAACAGTCCAAACTGATGCGTAGCATGTTTAACATGAGGTATCTGAACCATGAGGGAGGGATTTACATTTCAATGGTGGAAACAAAACCCGTTGCACACTGCTGCCAACTAGCGGGTGGCGATTGAATTGCACAAAACGAAAAGAAAATACACAAATGTTTGCATGTAAATTCTTTCAAGAATTAGATACACGGCTTTTGAATATCAATGTAATAATTACAAGGGGAAAAATCACAATATATTGCCATATCGATATTTCCGATACACAGCTTTTGAATATCGATATAATATTGCTGGAAAAAATATCACGATATATTGCCATATCGATATTTTCTGACATCCCTATTACTTTTATATTATTATTTTACTATATAAAGTTAAAAAAAATCTTTCTTCGTGTCTTCTTGGTCTGATTTGAAAAGCTGCCCTGATGCCCCCTCCTGCTTGTGCATGAACCTGTTTGAGTTTGAGTGATCGTGATGAGGCGGAGGACAGGATGGAACGACCTGAGAGGACCTGAAGTGCATCTGTAACCAGCCTGTCAGTCACTCTGCAGTCTTTGCTGAGCTCAGTTGTCCAGTAAGTCACACATCTTCACATCTACCCACAAACCACACTTCAAAAACACCCACACTGCATCTGTTGATGCGTCTCTACTCCCGTTCTTACCTCCATCTGAGTACGTCTCTGTTCCATATCCGTCCTGCAGCCCGTTGTTCCACGTCCCCTCATATTTCCCGCTCGTCCCCGTGCTCTCCCGGACGCCGTAACGTCCCTTGAAGCCGTGCGTCCACTCCCCTTTGTACACCCAGCGGCCTTTGTTCTCAACACCCAGACCGTGTCTCTTGCCCTGTGCCCAGGTGCCCTGGTAGGTATTCCCACTGGGCCAGGTGTAGACGCCCAACAGTTCAAATCCATGGGCCCAGGAGCCACAGTACTCGCCCTGGCCTTTGGGTCCCGTGCAGATCCCGTAGCCATGTGCCTTGCCCTCCTCCCACCCGCCGCAGTATGACCCCCCATCGTCAAAGTTGAACCTGCCGCCAGTGGACATGCATGTAACAGGTCTTGGCAATTTCCCTGAAGCCTCAACAAAAAGAAAAAGAAAAGAAAAAGAAAGGAAAGGGAGGAGAGAGAAGGACAGGTTGGTGCTAGAAGCTACCCATGGAGTGGAGGTTGTAGGTTGGAGAGGTGAGGGGTGAGGGGTGAGGAGGCAGGAGAGGGAGGGAGAGAACTCCCACACACAGATAGTCCCCCACTGTTTTCAACAAGGATGGAGAACAGGGTGAACAAATCTCCCAGCTAGGTGGGAAGGGTAGGAGATGCCGCTCACACCATTCTCCTGGCGGGCTCCCAGCAGCTTTAGCTAGAACTTCTCAGCTTCCCTGTGGCTCATGCAGGTGAGAGAGGAGGCGAGTGGGCCCAGAGCTGCCATTATCCTCCCTCAGCTGGAGCTGAAAGCATCAGGCAGCTCCACCGGCCTCCGATCGGCCTGCCTACACAGTCGATGACACTGACTCTTCCTCCTACTCCCTCCTGCTTTAGCTTAGGCCCACTTATTCTGCCGCCTCCTACCTGATGATGCCTCCACCTCTCTGGGGCGTAGAGCTGAGAAGTTTCCCTGGTGGCAGCCTCGAAGAAGCACCAAACCCCAAAAAGAATAAACCGGCCGCGAGGCCCCGAACTGAGCTGCGATGACAAGATAAAGGAAGTCCTGATTCTCTCTAACAAACAGAAAAATCATCTGAAGTCAGACTCAGTGACTCACTTTGGACTTCTCCATCATCTCTTCACCCTCAGCCCCCCTCACACATGCACTGTGCTCGGAGCTGCATGCATGCAAAGAGAGGGAGGGATTAAAAACGGAGAAAAAAAAAACACATCAGATATTCAGCTTTGCTGCCTTTTTCATCTGGAGAGCAGCAATGCAGTCTTCTACCTTATACAGGCAGGCACACACACTTCCCGCGCGGACACACACGTACACACACAATGAAAATAAACAAGTGAATTGACGAATTTCTCCTACTCTATCCCTCCCTGCTCTGTTTCTCAGTCTGACTGCAGATCTTTAATCCAGCGCGTCCATAAGTGGTTTATCCTCTGCGTGGGCTGCCTTCAGGTTGCCAGTTTGATGAAATAGCATCCGTGGATAGGATCCCGTTAGGCTGTGATCTGTCCTCTCCTGCTCATCTCCATGTTTCGCTACGGAGCAGCGGCTGACGCACAGCCTGCCTCTGCCTGCTGTCTCCGTCTCACCGCCTCCTCTGTCTGTGGACGTCTCTCGCTCAGAAAACCAGCTCATTAGAGAGGATTGTTCCAGTGCAGCTAACACACACTCCCCTCCCTTTCTCTGCTCAATAGCACAATCCGGCTTTTAAAGAGACAGAAGCTCCACACGCAGCGCCGCTTCCTCACCTGTAGATTTTTTTATCTTTCATAACCTCCCTTGTCCTTTTGATCCTTTTGATAATCAACCAGACCTCGGCTCCAGGTTAAATCACACACATAATCACTAGAACTGCAGACATTTTCAGACAATTTAAGGATTTTTTTTTGTTTTTCCCATTTAAAGGCACACTGGGCACTTTTGCATTCAGCACTCCCTGGTATCCGTCATTAACTCTCTAAGGTTAAACCGAAAATGAAACCGATCTCCTCGCTGTGTGTTTGTCTTTTTAACACCTTCAGCTAACAGCTGAAACGTCTCTCCAGCTTTCCTTAGTGTCTACAGAAGTGATTAATCACTAAATGAAACAAATCAGCCGTGTTCATGATCTAAAACCTGCAGAGAACGTGCTGAAAGCAGACTGCAGCCCCAGGTATGCAAGTCCACAGGAGGCAGCCCGCCACTCTGAAGTTGCAAGTGCAATATTCTGGCCACAGAGGGCAGTTGGCTCTGAGTGACATTTCATTCACTGTGTAAAAGGGTCATTTTAGCGCCTACTGGCTCAAGAAAATGATTTTAAAATGTGAAAAAGTTGGGTCACAGATGAAGATGAAGTCACAGATCATTGTAATGGTTTAATTACATGTTATTTAATAAGCCATAAGACGTAGGATTCCATAGGAAATATGAAATCAACCTTATGGATCTGTTGGGTTATTTTAACCAGAAGACTGGAACTTTTTATTGCAGGGATTAGATAACAGCTTCGTATTCACTCAGAGACAACAGAAGAGAGAGTCGAGTTTAAAAGTTTAAAGATTTATTACTAAACAAATTAAAACTAGACTAACTTTAACACTAAATGTATGGCGTAACTAAAGTGGATGAGACGGAGAATGGTGTAATGTGGAATGCTGTTCAGAACCAGCAAATCCAAAGAAGCGATTAGTTCTGATGGGAAATGAAGGTGATGTCTTCGCTCTAAGCTTTGGTTAGGAGATTCATAAACACATTCGACGCCGTTCCGTCGGCCTACGTACCCTGGTGGAAGTCCCTGTTGGATCAGGAATGTCGAGGACCAGCTGGACCCTTTCTGGAACCGAAGCCGGTAGGAAAAGCAGCGGTTGCCGACCAGACCAGTCTTTGAGATACTTCCGGGTCACGACGGTTTTGTTGGCATCTAGCAAGACCCAAACCTGGGTCTTGATGGTTCAGCTTTTATTCTGAAAGGAACCATTGCTTGGTTGGTAAAATGCAACAGATTTTATCCAGCTTGTCGTTGGTTCTTTCGGCTGAAGAGGAAAGTTACGGATTGGCCACTCCGACAACTTCTCTAGAACGCACTGAACTGGCGTTAAAGATTACGTGGGCATAGTTTTATACTTTGGATGTTTTGGTTTACGGTCAAATGAAAAGATGACAGATTTACCAAACACCGCCGAAACCACGCCTCCGTCAGGTCTGGCAGATTCTGATTGGATCAGTAAAAGCAATGTGTCATGTCTTAACGCTATGTGAGATCAGTCCTAGTGGAAACATTTAAAGTCATATTACTTATTATATTCTAGAGGATTATAATGAAGTAATTAATATTTTGATTTCACAGATTGGTCACATCTTATTGACTAAATAGAGTTCTTTGATTTATTAAAAGGAGAGAGTCCTTTCTTCATTCTTCTCTCTAGCTGGAAAGAAGCAGTTTATAACAAATGCATGAGACCTTGAGGTCATATCTCAGGCAGACTAGTTCTGTGCAGAGGAGGGGGGAGAATGACTTTTGGTGGAAAACAGTCATTTCATTGCGTTACATCATCTTGTGCTGATAAAGGTTTCGTTCAGACGTGTTTTGGTCAGATTTAGTCTGGTGCAGCATCACAAACTCTAGCTATGACCACACAAAACTTTAGTGGAATATCTAGCGCTGATTTGATGTTTCCTGTGGCGAACATCTTCAAAGAGGTCTAAGCAAAGTTGTTTGTCAGTCTTAGCTGAGTGCTGACAGCCACCTCTAATGGAGAAAACATCTAATGAAGACGCTTAGTCCAAATCCATCCAGTCCCTCATGAGACATTTCCTGATGGACAGGGATTTCTACGACTTTGTGGCTAAATTTTCTAAACAAAACACCAACTGAGGCTGAGCCTCATGACCCTGATTTTCAGTGACGGTAAAAATAAAATCAGAATTTGAATAATTACACATTGGACAAAAAGAAAATCACCTTCTCCTCCAGACGCGTCCGGTTTGGGTTTACAAAGGGACCAGGATGTTGGCAGCAAACTCGGGAAGATTAGCATCGTCTTAAAGAGATAACGCGTGTGTTGTTAGCTGGCTTCTTGCTGTTCACAGGTGAGTTCACCTGCAGCTGAAATGAGGACTTCTGGGGAGATGTGGAACACCCCCCCCACCCCCCCCCACACACACACACACACACACACACTCCTTTACAACATCCTTCAGGTTTTCTTCAGAACATCATCAACAGGAATGCTCCTCCTACGGCAGCTGGATCGGGTTCCAGCGCGTCGCTCGTGTAGCCCGACAGAAGATGAAGTCATTTCAATCCCACAAACATTCCCGGGACGAGTGCCGTAGCGTTTAACAGGTTAAATCAACCATAAGTGGCTTATCTGACCGGAAGTGCTGAATCTACTGGAGCCGTTTTTTTTAATCTCTGGATATCGGTGCAGGATGCAGAACCTTTTAGTGGGTTTGGCTCCCTTACATTCACAGATGTGACGAGATGGTTTTAAATCCAGATTTTCACCTTTTATTCTTCCTGACGTCACAAAGTTTCTCTGCAGACCTTTCCTTGTCCTCCTTTCTCCACCTCAGCTGTCCTCCTGCCGATGTCCTGTCTCGTCCTTCTGTCTGCCGGTGTTTGGAAAAAGCTAAGCCAATTCCAGGCCAGATTACAGTAATAAAATCACAGTAAATTAGAGGGATTAAGGTTTAGGTCTCTAAACACTGGTATGAGAGAAATAAAAGGCTGGAGGGCAGCAGGAGGAGAAGGCAGCAGCTTAATGAGAGGGTCAGAGTGATTTCCTGACCACAACAATAAGAGATTGCAGCTCGACACGGAGGTCTACTCACAAATCCGTGACATCATTCGCACAGAAAAAACCCCAACAACAACAACCTCAGAAACAGGTCTAACTCTTCTGTAGGTGCAGGAGTTCAGTCAATCAATCAATCAATCATTCAATCAATACTTTATTAATCCCAGAGGGAAATTAGAGTTTCAGCACACACAATTCAGAGATCAGACATACATGGGCAAGACACATGACAAGAATTGGTGACTGTAGTCATTCGCAACCCTGAGTCGCGCTACCTTAATAGAGATAAGAGGGTTACATGAGGATTGGTTCAGGTGAGGGAAAAAAGGGCACTTCAGAGTTACCCTCCCACCAGGAGGGCAGCTTTGCTCTGCAAAAAAACACTTCAACAGATATGCAACAGACTTCAGACAACACAACATGACATGAGACTCCAATAGGAAGGCAGGGTGGGTGGTGGCGGGTTGGGCTGGGATCCTGTTTGCCCCAGCGAGAGCAGCCATCTACAGCGCTCATCTACTGTACAGTCACAGGTGGGAGGGAGATCTCGGGAGAAGCAAAGAGCACACTGACTCCTACAGATTGATGACCTCGCCAGGCTGAAGTCCACCAATCCGAAGGCGGTGTGTGTGTGTGTGTGTGTGTGTGTGTGTGTGGGGGGGGGGGGGGGGGGGGGTCGGGTTTTCACAGCATCTGTCTGCATTCCTTCGTGGGGGTTTGATGCTTGCAGCTCAAGGCTTCCAGGGCGTCAGATTCAGATAACAAGAATTTGTTTGGGTCAGGCTGAGATAATTTCTTATCTGCCTTCAGTCTTTAAACTGATCATTCCAGTCCTTCAGTGAAGCCAATTTTGGGTTTTTAAACTTGTCCATACCGTCCGGTGACTCTCTCCGAGATGACATCCATTTTGTGCACTAATACCGGTATTGCAGCTAGAACATTGTCCAGCTTACAATTCACCTCAAGTAACGTCCCAGTCTGAGAAGTCTCCACACGGACGGTGCTTTCCGCGGGTGCGGGTCGCCCTCTAATCACTCCCGTCCTCCCAAATTTCCAGAAAACCAGATATCCTCCCACTCCAATCAGGAAAAATCCAGTGAACATCAGACCGAATATCCACACGTCTTCAATGTCCTCAATGGACAGCTGGCTGAGGCATTTGATCTTCCACTCCTTCCAGCAATCCAGCATATATCTCACCGGGTGTGTCCCCTGTGGACATGTGGGAGCCCCTTGCTCCGTTCTCATTGTTTAAAAAATCTTGTCGATCGCATTGAATGACCAGTTTATCAAATCCATGGTTAAAAGTAGTGTTTATCAGAAGAAATGCAGAGAAGCGCTCTGTGGGCAGACAGGACAAAAGAGCCTTGGGAAAAAAGATAAGGGAGCGAAAAGAGAAGCGTCTGTACTCCGCGAGTGCCGGGAAGAAAAAAAAACGTTCAGGTTGTTACTGTGATTATGGGATGAAAAAGGGTGTTGCTCCAGTCCGCACTGGTAAAGAAGGAGCTAAGCTGTGTCACGGCGTGTGGGCGAGGTGAGCGGAGGTGAGGCGAGGATCCAAATGCGGGGAGGAAGACAGGCAGACAGGTATGACGTTTATCATGAACTTTAATAAGTAACAAGCAGGACACTGAAACAATGGATCGACACAAGACACAGAACAGAAGGGGTTTAAATACACTAGGGCCGGGAGCTAAGGTGATTGGGAAACGAGAGGCAGGTGGGAGCAATTAACGAGACACAAGGCTGAACCAAAACGGGGAGACAAGATAGGGTGTGTCAGTACCCCCCCCCCCCCCCCACACACACACACACACACACACACACAAAGGGCGGATACCAGACGCCCACAGGAACACAGAGCAGGGTCGGAGGAGGGGGACCCGGAGGGACCGATGAAGAGGAG